CTTCGGAGAGTCGGGCAGCCTGACTGCGGCTGGTGCTGGCTCTCCGGGCCCTCAGACTCTCCTGGCCCTCAGAAAGCTGTAAGCCCAGTTCTGTCACCAGAGCCTTGATTTCCTCTCCTCAGAGGCCAGCCGTGCTGTGTCTCTGGTTGGGGCCTAGGTTTTCTTCAGAGCCTCCATTTTACTGTTGTCTGTCTGTCTGTGTCATTAATAACTCTTCTAAAACTCCACACTCTCAAAACCCACCTCAGAACACCTCTTCTGTGACACGTCAGGAATGTATTGACAGCCACTGTGTTAAGGAATTCTTCCAACTACAAGGCTTCCAGACGGTGAGGGCACCGAGGGGCTTCCTTGAGCCCCACACTCAGAAAGCAGCACAAAGCCACAGGCTTCCCCTCTCCTGGCTCCTGGACTCCATCTTTCCCTGGTCTCCTAAAATGACCACAGAACTAGGCATCCAGCCCTGCTCTGAGTTCATGCCCAGGCTGCTGCTCGCACAATGTCACCAGCAGGGAGAAAACCACCACCCTACACTGCTAATTTGACCTGAGGGTTCTCCATTTAAAGGCGCTCCCTCCAGAGCCTGCTGTGCCCTTTACCTCCACAGCCGGGGCATCGCCTGTCTGCCTGGGAAATGCCGGGGCTAGTGCTCACAGCAGCCTCCTGTGAATGTTCATGAGCACTGCGAGGGCAGACGCTCTTCCTCACTCGCCCTTGCTCCCCATGCTGTGACACCGAGTCCTGGGTTTTGGGGAGATGTGAGTGGCAGCCTCCTGACAGTGAGGCTTCCTAGCTCCTGCCTTCTCAGGCTTCCGTGGGTGACCCAAGATGGGGACACAATGTGAACAAACTTAGCGTGGCTATCGCCCTTGTCATCGCCGTGACTGACAGCTGTCGGAAGCAGGACAAGTGTGCCGGGTGGCAAGACCACGGCAAGGGCGAGGACTGGCTGATGTCACAGAGGACAAGAGCAGTGCAGCTTCCTGTGCTCTGCTGATCTTTTCCTACCAAGTACCCCGAGCCCCCAGATAAAGACCCCGCAGCCTGCAGACTAGGACCACAAGTCTGGAACCGAGCGTTAGACATATGGATCCATGGAGGTCACTTTCTATTCCAACCCCAACACCGAGCAAACGACAAAGTTACTGAACGTTCATCCCCAGGACTGCATGTTTGCTGTAGTTTCTGGCTCCTGGATTGCTGCCATACTGATGATTTGCCATCGCTGGAATGAGAACAAGATGGCCCGAGCCTGGGTGGGATGCCTGTCAGAGCAGAGGCTGCTCCCTGCCTTCCTGTGTGCACCGTGACCCTTGCTCTGCTCTGACACCCTTCTCCCCAGCTCCTGTGTGGAACTCAGGAGGTGAGTCTGGCTGGGCTCTCATGTGTTTCAGACCACGGGGAACATGAACGAGGGACCCAGTCTCTCAAGGTGTGGGCACAAGCTTCCGATGCTCCGCACATTCCTCTCAGCTCCTTGCACCAGGAGCCCCTCCCTGCAGGCTGCCAGAGGGAAGAAAACCTGCTTTCCCTCCGTACTGTCCTCAGGGACCTTCAGAGCCTTGTCTGCTGCCACCTCTGTCCTCTTCCCATCTGCTTCCACAAACTCATCCGGGGTCCCCAGGGCATCCACACTGGCCCTGACCCTGGATTCTGACACCTGCTCCTCGCCAGCCTGCTCTGATTCACTGAGCACACAGGATCAAGAAGGTGTGGCAATAGAAGACCAGCAGAGCACCTGGCTGTCAATCACCGCACTTGCCACAAACCCCAGTGGCCTTTCTTCCAAATCTCCCTCAGTCACTGCAGAGCAGGTGGGATCAGGCTCAGACCCTGCACTTGGGGCCGTGATCTGCGAAGCTGCTGGCCTGGTACCCAGTCAGTCACAACCCCTCAGGGGAGAGCTTTTGTTGTGCACCTTGAGTCAGAGGAAAGGGGGCTGCCTGGGAGCAATCAGCAGGACTGGTGACAGGCCCTGATGGGGCAGGGAGGGGGCAGAGTGGAGCAAGCCCGCACAGCACACAGGCCAGGCTCTCCCTCGTCTCCAGACGTTGGAGTGGCTGATGAGCTCAGAGTTCTGGCCACAGTTTAGAAATGGAAAGGAAACACTGACTGATACACAGGACTCTGGTTTGCGCTCAAAGCTCTGTAGTATGTGCACACACAATTTATACCTACTAGAAGTGAGAGGATAGGAAATGCCTCGTCTGACAAGGCCAGGGATTTTATTTCATCACATAATTCAGCAGTAACGTCCTAGTGACATTTCAAGGTCTCTGTATCTTGAAAACGCGTGATGCTGAGCCCAAGGGAGCAGTTTAGAGGACAGAGACCATACAGAAAGCTTCCGGCCGGTCATTCACTGTCAGCTTCAGCCTGAAAATACGAGACGGGAAATTCCTGAAAAAGAACAAGCGTTTTAAGGAACCCCGAGGCCGGTGTGCTGCCACCATTATTCTGCCCTTGTCTGCAGCTCTGAGCGTGCCCCATTCAGAGACCGGGCACTTTCATCAGTGTGAAGGGGAAAACAGCACAGGCAGAAATTGTACCAGATGAGTTTTGGGGTCTTGGGGCAGACCTGCCACAGATACAGCGCCTAGCAAGCTCAGAGATGAGTTTCACTTTTATTTGCACCTCAGTGAGTGTGCACGCCCCTGTGCTGCTGCTGGCAGAGGCTGGGAGTGTGTCAGATTCCCGGTGCTGGGCTCCTGTGAGGTGAGCGCTGGGACAGGAACTCTGCTCCTCAGGGAGAGCAGGGTGGACACTTGACCTCTGAGCCACGTGTCCAGCCCCACGCTAGTTTACAGTACTTGCTTACACAGAGCATGTTATGGAATCATTTCGGAAAGCGTGTCCAGGCCTTGGGCCAGCCTGTGTTCTCTGTGTACGTCCTGGTGTGAATGCATGCATGTTTGGGACCCTGCAGAGGCCAGAAGTGTCGGATCCCCCAGGCCTGACCTCGAAGGTGGTTGTGATTTGCCCTGTGGTGCTGGGAACTGAACCTGGATCCTCTGCACGAACAATAACTCTCTTTATCACAGTGTGCCCCTCGTCACGGTGTGCTCTTTATATAGTGTGCTCTTCATCATCACAGTGTGCTCTTCATGATGTGTGTGGGCCCACACACAGCCCTGCTCTGTGTGCTCTGGCCATCAGGGACGGAGGCTGCAAGGGCTAGAGAGGGCACAGTAGAGCAGACACACTGCCATGCTGCAGACACGTGCGGCTCCCTGCACCCACACTGGCTCACAAACAGCCTGCAACTCCAGCTCCAGGGGATCAGACACCCTCCTCTAGGTTCTGTGAGCCCCTACACCCCCCCACAGATACACACACACACACACACACAGACATACACGCACATAGACCAGAGACATGCACACACACACATGCACACAATCTAAGAAGAAAAGCATAGGCTGCTGCCCGGCATGATAAATAACTGAGATGTGAGGAAGCAGCTGTCTTGTCTTGCCTCATACAAAAGATTCCGTCTGGGCTGGAAACACAGCTCTGTGGTAGAGCCCGGGGTGTGCGCGACCTGGGTGTGTGTGCAACCCTGTGGTGTGTGTGTGTGGACCCTGGGGTGTGTGTGTGTGTGTGTGTGTGTGTG